GGATAAAAGTGGCGAGAAATTGGTGGCTCGTGACCCTGGCTGAATTTCGAGGATGAACGAAGGGTCTTCGACGATAGGTCAAGAGGAATAGCGAGTCACGCTTGGTGAAATCCTACGAGTATAACATTGGGTCTCGTCCACGAGAATTACCCCTGGGGAGCTGGCAAACTTCTTGTCGATACTTCCTCGAAAAGTGGTTGCCGGGAAGAGAGGCGCCGACGTTTCCTCGTGGATGAAGATGGACCAAACTGTCGGCAGTAACTTTCTTCAGATCTTACGATAATTAATTTCTTTACAGAGCGATGTTTATACAGAATTTCTCGAAGATTCGACGAACCCTTTGAAGCAGACTGACCTACAGTATAGTCCAGCTATTCTGTTACAAACTAAAATAATCTGTTCTGTGGTTCGCGTGTCTCCTTGTGCAGTTGTTTGTCCGGTAAACAAGGTCCCCATCGATTATCCAAGATTTACGTAAAGCAGTAGACTCGAAGGTAGACTTCGTCCTCTAGACACGTTCAAGGAAACTCTCGTCCTTGTCACACCCTACAATCTTCCCTCGTTTTTCTCTATTTTCACTCGTCGAAAAAAAGAACGAAAGCTCGGGCGAAATGGACGATAGCTCCGTAGAAATCAGGAAAAGCACGTAGTAACGCGTAAGAAGAGTAGACACACGTGAAAGTAGGAAGCCTCGTTTGGCTGTGTTCTGGGAAACGTCGAAGAAAAAGTGACCATAAAGCCGCGAGTTTATACAACTTTTGTTTTCGTGCTTCGTCTCTGGAACGACTGTTGGTCGTGGCACAAACCTAGCCCGGAGACTTTCGAACGTGTTATTAGAGGCTGTAAATATTTTTACAATCCACTGGACTCGGTAAACTTTTCCAATGGGCTGTAGCGATCGTCCGTGTGAAAGAGATACGATAGGGATGGGAGAGAGAGAGATCGTTCCCCTCTCGAACCATTCGAACCGTTGCCATTAAGGCTCGCGACGCGCAGCCTCGCAATATCTTTCGAAACTTGGGACATTTCACGACGATACCGAGGAAGAGTTCAAATTGAATCGCCTATCTTGCCGTCGTTTATCTTAGAATTTTCAAATAGTTTTCGACCAAGGTAAACTTACTCGAATCTCATTTTTCCCATCGATTCCACAATTTTTCTATGGATTTTCAATCTATTTTATCTGAAAGTATTGGATTCTTGGGAAAGTTTATAGCGAAATTTGGGAGGAATTGGAACGGTCGTGTCTCTATTTCTAATTGAGATAAGAGATAAATTTAAATGGGGGTTTTATTCGTTACTTTACGAGGAATCCAACGCACCCTCGATTATTCGCCACGGTGACGAATTTTTCGTGGCAACGCTCCGCTGCAGAAAATGTAGTACGTGTAGAAATTAATTTTCTGCCTTTTTCACAAAGTCTCGACGACGTTATCCACTAAAAATCGCTATAGTTTTCAGAGAAGAAATTCGTTAGTGTAGGGCGTCTGGGAAAATAACGTATTCTTCCGTAGCAAAGGGTCACTTCCGACTGCCCCGTCCTCGGCCCGAGCCGTCACTCTTTTATTATTGTTTTACACATATCACATACATTCTAGTTCGGCCCAGCCAGACGGCGAAGCCGTCGCCGCGCTCGGTGATTCCCTGGGCGAACATACGCGGATCGGTCGCGATAGCGATGAAACGATGCGGAAATAAACGCGGATCGGTTGCGATAGCGATGTGACAACACCGACCGGGTCCTTGGCCTCTGCCCGTGCCAAAGTGCACCTGTACCTGTGAGAAGATCCGTCCCGAAGACGGTGAAGCGAGCATCTCGAAGCCACGCCCAGCGCGCTCGGTGGGGGTGACTCCGCCCCTTTGGGTCTTTCCCTGGGCCTGTTCGAGTAGGGGAGGACAGGGATCGGCAGGGCGACGCGTCCGAGTACTTTCTGACATACCTTACATTAGTTATGTAAGACTAAGGAAACACAGGCGCTTAAAATAACTGATTTAAAATAACGTCGGTTTGCTCCTCGGTGACTGTTTGCGATATTGTGTGGGCCGCTGCCCTTTTTCCGTTTTTATACGGTTTTTCAGCCGTTGGGACCGTGCAAGCTTTGGGGTGGAGGTGCAGCCTGCGCTCATCCTTGTCTAAGGCCCACTGTGGCTTGGGTCGTTGTCTATGCGCGTCGCATGAAAAATCTAGAAAGGTGATCCGAAAGGATGAACGTTACTTTGAACAGAATTTTCCGCCAATAAAATTGAAACTTGAGAAAAACGCCCGAAATTAATTTGTACACCTACCAACGAATAAAACATTTACCTCTGTCTCACTTCAATAAGAAACACAGATAGGAAAGCTCGAAATTTCCACAGAAACTTTCACCCAGCCGCTCTCAATCGCCGTTATTTTCGTTACACCTTCGGCATCGCCTTCCACGCGGGCTGGCAAGTGTACAAAATATCTGGAAAGGGAGAGACCGCGTTGGGAAAAGTAACATTGCTCGACGTAACGCGTCGCGACGTTCAGATCGATACGACAATCTTTCCGAGCCCTAGTGCATTCTAACCGATGATAAATGCGTTCGCGCACAGCACACACACGCACGTACGGTGCTCGTATTTCGGGAGGAGATGAGTTCGGATGCATCGCGGGGCTTGCGTATTGAATTAAGGGGATGAACGGTGTGTGGAACAGGCGGAGAGACGGGAGAAAAAAAAGGGAGAAAACCAGGAGAGAAGGAGAGGAGAGAAGAAAGAAGACCATTGGAATTCAATGGTCGCGCGCGGATTTTGTTCATCCGGCGGACGTAGCTCACGAGAAGAGGGAGAGACGGAATATTTACAGCGCTCGTAAAACGTCCCTAGGTACGAATAACTTGCGCAGCTCTGCCTCGCTGCTAAACTCTACCAAATTCAACGATTGTACGGTATCGTTTAGGAAGCGTGAATTATAGTACAGTAGTTAACGTAGGGCGGGTTAAGTGTTAGCTATCGTTGGATCGCCGATAGAAGCGACGTTTAACGGGGAGAGCCAAAAATTTGGGTGGAAATTCGAGAAACTTTTTCAATTGTTTTCTGAAGAAAGTACCGGTAGAAGTCGAACGAAGCTTGTCTTAGACAATGATAGAGTGTGAGAGGGCTGTGATGCCTGGTTTTGCCTGAATTTCTCAAGAGTGAGGCCAGGTATTGGGGTGGCATTTAAATCGGAGCAATCAAAGATCGGCGTTTCGTGGACGAGAAACTTGTTAAAAGTGGCAAAACGTGACGTATAGGCGACAATACAGAGAATGACTCGAAGATGGAAAAATAGGGCTGTTTAAGCCAGGAAGACAGGAATTGTGAGTACGCGGTCTTTAAGAAGCTCTATCGCGGTACTTCGACATCGAAACGGATTAAACAGCGAAGCATCAGCTTCTCTCTCAGCTCCTCGTCTCCACAGCTTCTTTGACCCTAGCCTAATAGTTTCCCCTGCGTTCCAAGGCGCACACAGTTCTCTAAATTAGCTTCGCTAACGAGTTCCCTAAGAGGCCCACGACGAAAACGCACTTCTCTCTCCTTCTTCGCTCTCACACCTCCTATCACCACCATACAGCCGCATTTCTATGTAAATATAACCCCGTAGTACTCGTACACTGCTCGTTAAGTCTCGCGGTTCGTGTTACAGAACACGATACACCTTACGTACCCTTTTCACCCTACAGATGTGACAATATTTCTTCACCGTGTACACGCGTCAAAAGTGTCACAGTCGACTAAGCAAACAGTGTATTAAAGAATAAGAAACAAAAGTTTCATTTTTGCCTCGGTGTATTTCCCCTCTATTTCTATTCTACTCTCTCTCGCCTTTCTACTTTCTTTCTATTCATTTCTACGACACGCGTGAGGCGACGTCATCGTAGAGAACAGAACGGAAGGAAAGAGGAAATGGTAAAGACAGGAATGTATACAGGGTGTCCCGTAACTCCTCGAAAACCCGGAAATGGGGGGTTGCTGGGGTGACTCTGAACAACTTTTTCCTTTACCAAAATGTTGCTTGAAGCTTCATTTTTGAATTATTAACGAAAAACGGTGGCCAATCAGAGCGCGCGTAGAGCCCGCGCTCAGGGTACACTTAAGACTTTTGGGGTGAAGAAGGATCTAAGACCTTATGTGAAACAATTTTTGTTTCCAACGCGACGTATGAACCTAGACAATAAGCGTTTAAAGTAATGTTAACCCATTTGCATCACGACTCTACCTATGCTACTGAGCTCAGACATCAGCGGGGTATCACCGCCAACATCAATCCACCCGTATTCTTATTGTAGTGTAAGAGTAAAGAATTACAGGGGCTTAGAACGACAGATATTAAAATGACGTTGGTCCGCTCGTCGATGGCTAGGTACGGTATTGTGTGGGCCGCTGCCCTTTTTCCCGTTTTTGTATGCTTCTTCGGCCGTTAGGGCCCTGCGCTGCTCCATGTCTAGGGCCCCCTGTGGCTCGGGTCTCGCGGTCGTTGCCTAGGCGCGTAGCACGGCGCCTTACAGTAGTCTATTACTACTGATGGTCTGCGGAATATTCCGCGTCCGGTGATAAATGAAAGTCGCGACTCGCGGAATAGTCCGCGCTTGGTGATAGGTGACGATCGTCATGTGCGGAATATTCCGCTTACGGATGCAAATGGGTTAAGGAACGTAAACTTGGGAACAGCGAAAATGACTAAAAATATAAAAAGGTGACGGGTCAAAAAAGACCCGGAGACCGTTCTAGGGTTCATTTTTGTTACATTTATCTAGCTTATAAGTGTAACATTGCGATGCTCGTTCTTGTTGCACATATTTTACGTAGAAGTAATAAGCTGTTTAAAATTTTCCTCTCCTTACTTTTTGTTCTTCTCCTTTTCTTTGAATTTGATAAAGTACGAAACGACGGAACTTCCTCGCACATTATTACACGGCGCCAGCGTTTTAACTGTACATATATCCAGCGGCGAGGAAACTTTCCTCGAGCATTAAACGAACTACTTGAGCAGAGAGACGTGATTTTTTTCCAGCCGAGGCAGGGATTGCAGTCGCGGCGGAAATGAAGACGCCTGAGGAACGTACCGCCGAGGAGAAAATGGCGCTCCTCGGGAAACCGAAGTTGGGAGAGGTGTCCAGAGCGCAGATACGGATCAAAGAGTCGAAGGAGTTCAAGAACACCGTGGATAAACTGGTGCAGAGGGCAAACGCCTCTATTCTACTCGGTGAGTCGATCGTTCTTCTGTTTCACTGTACGTTTGCGACCACAGGCGGTGAATTTAAACACGTTGCGTCTAGAAGGGCTAGAGAGGGATTGAAATTTTTTGAGTTAACAAATCATCGAGTTTGACCGAGGATGAGGTATTTAAACGCGCTGTTTCGGATGATATTGTTCGAAAGAAGAGGTTGAGAAGGATTCAAATTTTTCACTCGAGCAAAAAGAATCACTTGAAGAATTAATAAGCTAACTTTAAATTTTTTGCGAATGAGACTTTGCAGAGAGCGGATTTTCTAAAAAATTAACAACCTATCAAATCACTGTATTTAAATTTTTAGCGAAGAAGTGAGACTTTGCAGAGAGCGAATCTTCTCACAAATTATTGTTAAGCTAACAAATCAGTTTATTTCAATTTTTTGAAGAAAGAATGAAACTTTGCAAAGAGTGAATCATCTAAAAAATTATTCCTAAGCTAACAAATCATTGTATTTAAATTTTTTGGGAAGGAGTGAGACTTTTCAGAGTATGAATCTTCTCACAAATTATCGTTGAGCCAACAAATCACTTTCTTTAAATTTTTGGAAAAAAGAATGAAACTTTGCAAAGAGTGGATCTTCTCACAAATTATCATTAAGTTAACAAATCGTTGCATTTAAATTTTTTGGGAAGGAGTGAGACTTTGCAAAGAGTAAATCTTCTCACAAATTATTGTCAGGCTAACAAATCATTGTATTTAAATTTTTTGCGAAGGAGTGAGACTTTGGACAGAGTGAATTTTCTAAAAAATTATGGTTAAGTTAACAAATCGCTTTATTTAATTTTTCTGCAAGGAGAATGAAACTTTGCGGAGAGTGAATCTTGTAAAAAATTATGGTTAAACTAAGAAATCGCTTTATTTGAATTTTTTGCGAAAAAGTGAGACTTTGCACGGAGTGAATCTTCTAAAAAATTATTGCTAAGTTAAAAAACTACGTTATTTAAATTTTTCGCAAAATGTCAACCTTCCAAAAAATGATCTCCTCGTTCAGCTACATTAGCGACAAGTTTCGTGCGACGAAACTGACTAACAGCGCGATTCTCGTCTCTCGAACGTTACCCCGCTGTCTTAATCTACGCAATCTCTCCTCTCGATATCCTCCTATTTCGCGATTTCGACCGTCCCCTATCTCTTACTCACCGCGACTTTAAATCCTCCTTATTCCGCCCCTCAAACGTACGTTCTCCCCGTGAATAGTCTCTGATCATCTGATTAAAACTCGAGTCGCATTAAGAAACCGTCGACCTACTGGTGCATACATATAACAGAAACTGGCGAACCAGAACGAACGACACAGTCGTCATCTCGAGTGTGTTTGACGAGAAACAATTAGAGAGAAGAGAAGCAAGTCTGGTTTTACTCGTGCATTTGCCATGGTTGTCACGTAGAATCCTCTTTTTGAAACAGCAAACCTCGAGGAAACAGTCTGCTGTGGAGAGAGAGTAGCAAGCGTTTTTCCTCTCTTTTCTTTCTTTCTCCGAATTAAATTCCCTTCGGTAATTTGTTCAATCGATTGAATCGAATAGAGGTAGGAGAGCTGGAGTAATGAAAAAAGTATAGATTTTAAATTCATACCTCGATTAGATAGTATCGAGTAAAAATTGTTTTCCTATACTGTGTCTGTACGTCGATTAACCAAGAGAAAAACACTTCTCTCTGTGCTATGTGGAAGCCTCAGGGAAACGTTGAAGGGAGAAGAATCCTTTGGATAGATTGAGACGGGGTTGAAACGTCTGGAAAGTTTTGTGATCGAAGAGAAAATACAGGATCGAATATGAAGTTAAATAGGTATATTCTGCAGGCGTGAGTTAACGTTCTTAGAGGAACGGTAAACGCGTGTGTGCAGTTGAATTTGAAGGTGTAACAAGGAAGTTTCTACGAGAGGTTAGCGATTCAGGAACGAAATGAAACTCCGAGTTTCCGTTTGCAGCTACGTTAAACCTGTTCAATTAGCTTGATTCTCCGGAAGGCTTCCGGCGGATGTGCACGTGGGATTATGATGGGAGAGGGAGAGGCTCGTAAAAAGAGCAGGTTGCTTCCAGGCGTCGTCGCTCCCGCTTATTCCGCGCTGGAAATTAGGTTCGAGATCAGTGTCCCGTTATATCGAGTTCCAAACTTCTGGCCTCCAGGCTAGAGTCACATGGCCAGAGCGCAACAGAGAGAGGGAGAGCAAAAAAGGGAGAGGAAGAGCAAAAGTGACATAGAGAGAGAGAGAAAAAGAGCAAAAGAGACAGAGAGAGAGTGAAAGACAGAGGGAGAGACAGGGAGAGACAGAGCGCAAAAGAGAAAGAGCAAAAGGGACAGAGGAAGAAAAAGAAGACAGAGAGGGATAGAAGAAGAGAAAAAGGCAGAGGGAGAGACAGGGAGAGACAGAGTGCAAGAGCAGTCGAGTTAACGTAAAGTCCGGTAAATTCAATAGCGGTGAAAGTTGAAGGGGTAGCTTGGTACGGGCGGTAGTAAATCGGCTAGGGGTTCTATTGCGCGGCCGTTCCTTTTGTTCGACGGCCCGTTTTGCATTTCACGTTTTGCCCTACCTTTTCTCACGAAGAAATCGCCAGGGACACGTCTTCTTCGCGCCTCGATAAAACGTTTTCTCGCTGCCCTCCTTCCTTCCTCCCTACTCTCCAGAGATTTAGACGGTCCCTCTCTTGATCTCTCTTACCAGATAGAAAGAGAATTCCTAAAGTAGAAAGAGAGAAACAACGAACGAAGGAGAGAGAAAAAAACATGAAACACACAGAGAGAAGAGAGAGGAAATTAATGGATTCAAGCTCGATGACGGATCGAGTCTACTGTTCCTTTGAACAGGAAGAAATCCTCGAGGAGGAGAGAGAAAGAGAGAGAGAGAGAGAGAGGAATCGTAGTAGCGTTTCGAGGCATTCGACCGATTGATTTATTGGCGGGCAATGTGTCTGTCGAGCTCGAGGACATCTTTGTTAATTGAGCACCGACTGTCTGGTTCAATTCCGTGAGTGGGATTGTTCCTCGAATGGATTCGACGTTGTAACCCGGTGAATTATTTCGGACATTCGTGCAACTTGTTATTGCAAAGATATTGGAATAATATAATCGAGAAAGAGAGATTGAATTTTCATTTGCACGGAGATTTATCGGAGCGAGTAGGTCGACAGGAAGTTGGTGTATAGCGAAAGGATTTATTCAATTCTAGTATGCAGAAATGTTGGTGGAAATTGCTAGAGGGTGAAATTAGTCTGTGAAACCTTTTCTATGTGTGCTTAATTTGTTGCGGTCGTTAACATATTCAAACACATTTACCCCGTATTAGTAGCCCGTCGCGTTTCCCATATTCCGCAATGTTTACATAATCGCGCGGCGTTTTCAAGATAGCGTAACGCGGACCCGGAATTAAAATGAAAGTTGAACGAAGCTTAAGCGTAATCGTGACGAAGTTCATATAAAAAATTCGCCTTTTCGAATGTGCAAAGTATAATTTTCACGGGGTGAAATTTTCAGACGGTCAAATTTTTAGGCGGTCGTGCTTTCAAACTGGAATTGTGAAACGTTTGAATTTTCAAGCGTTTAAATTTTTAGACGCTCAAATTTTGAAACGACGAAGTTTTCAAGCGTTCAAACTCTCAAGCGTTCAAATTTTCAAGCGTTGACACTCTCAAACGTTCAAATTTTCAAGCGTTGACACTCTCAAGCGTTCAAATTTTCAAGCGTTCAATCTTTCAAGCGTTCAATTTTTCAAGCGTTCATATTTTCAAACGTTTAAATTTTCAAGCGTTCAAATTTTCAAGCGCTCAATTTTTCAAGCGTTCATATTTTCAAACGTTTAAATTTTCAAACGTTTAAATTTTCAAGCGCTCAAATTTTCAAGCGCTCATATTTTCAAGCGCCTATATTTTCAAGCGCTCAAATTTTCAAGCGCTCAAATTTTCAAGCGCTCAAATTTTCAAGCGCTCATATTTTCAAGCGCCTATATTTTCAAACGTTTAAATTTTCAAGCGCTCAAATTTTCAAGCGTTCAAATTTTCAAGCATACAAATTTTCAAGCGTTCAAATTTTCACACGTTCAAATTTTCAAATATTCCGTTCGTCCCATCTCAGCTAAGGCACTCAGAAAACTAAGGGACTTTCTTATGCAGAAAGAATCGAAATTACGGGGCGAAGAACTTGGAGCGGCGATTGCGTTGAACCGCGGCCAAGGGTGCGGGCAAAAAGGATAGTCTTGGGATCGTTGCCTCTTCGACGAACCTTCGAAGCGTTTTTACTCGCGGGAACCATGCCGTCTGCCGCGAACTTTCTTGTTCGGTGGCGGTCATAAATCAGTGCGGGCGATCGTTCGCGGATTTCCAACGGATCCGTCCGAAACGAACACCGGTGTTTCGAACACGGATTCTTTCCTTCGATTTTTCCCTCATCCCCGTTGAATAATTCACGCGTCTTCCCGTCTTCCGTTCGCGGTAATTGGCCGTCTGTTACACGATTCGTTGCAACGTCATAAATCAACTTGTCGCCGAAGCTTTCGCGCGACGACACCATCCATTTTTCCCTCCACCAGCGATAATTTCTACTTTCCAACGCTATACCTCCTTCGAATGTCATTTTTCTTATTCAACCTTTTTCCTCCAACTCCTGTCGATCAATTATTCTCACCGCTTACAATCAGAAAGATCGGATCAAGTTCTCCCTCTAAATTTATCATTACTCGTGCACGATCCACAAATTGCACTGTTCCAATTCAGTTTCCCAATGGGTAATTCAATTGTTTATGAAAATCTCGCGATGCAACGTTTTCGGTTCGGCTATTGTGGAAACGGGGCTTTCCATCAACGGCTAACGGCTGTGACGAGCGGACGCGTCTGATTTTTCAGATATTCCAGCCAGTTTTTTTCCCGTTTTTGCTCCTCGTTTTGTTTCCCTCCGTGGTTTATCTGAATTTGAATAACCACAGAGGCAGAGAGAGAGAGAGGAGAAAAAACGTCACAACCAGGAGACTGGTGCAGTTTTGTCGAGAAAGTGGATCAAGGTTCGGTACGGTAGACCGGAATATAGCGGAATAATCGCGCGGTTAACATTTCTCAGCGGAATAATGACGCGTTTGTAGAAATTGTAGCGGTGCGGGGTTTCCTGTGGACGCTCCATTGAGCGTAGAGCTCTTGGTGAGTACAGCGAAGATCGTAGGGAAGCGGATTCTGAACGGAGAAGACCATTACGCGCGGAAGATACGCGGGAATTTACATTTAGAGCGGCCGCATTGCTACTTCCTGTGACCAGGAAGGTCGAGAATCGTTAAGGGTAAAGTTCGCTTATACCGTTTTAACCGTCGCCCTCCCGAATTATCCGACAGTTGTGGTAGAAAATATTTCTCACTATTTTCATGCATATTCTAATGGTACACGCAACATGAAATATTCGTCTTCGTTGTATCGAAACATTTCTGAATAAGTAAACGAGTCTGTATTTGGTCGTCTTGTTCTACTTGTCTCGTCTGTTCCCTTGAAGTATAGTCGGTGAAACAAATGTAGGGAGCTAGTCAAATTGGTTAGGATATGTCCCACAGACCTTGTGATCAATTTAGATCAAGCCCGTTCAGCTGGTTGCCCGCAGGGCAGTGGTTCGCCCGCACGGGCAGTAAGCCACGCCTTCCCGGGCAACGACCCTGTGGCGGGGCACTGTATGAATTTAGAGGACTATGCTTCGAAGGTAGAGCTTACACTCCCATCACAATTATTATTTACAACTCTTCTTTAATGACTGTCCACGTCACTTGCCCCTAGCTTTGCCCGCGGGCAACGCCGGACGCCCGTGCCCGCAAAAGAGTTCCTCAAGCGGTCCTGGTGTAGATTTTAGACTCCAGATGAATCGATACCTCGACCAATTGAAGGCTGATTGCTCTCTACCACTCGATCGTATCGTGTGCAATGCAAAACATGTCACGATTCTTCCGGAGATCGTACTTGACCGTGTATATTTAAAATTTCGAATTTAAATATTTGAATATTTCAAAATTTCAATTGGAACATTTGAATATTTAAATCGGACGCTTTGACTGCTATCAGCGTCTATTGGCGCTCGACAAAAAAGCTCACCGTGTATACATACTATCAACGCCTATAGACTCTCCTGTTTTTACTTCACAATTTAATTATGTATTTCACAAATGGAATATGTGCAAACGTTAAACTACAAAGCGGCTATTAAGCGAGCGTTTTACTTCGACACAGCCAAAGTAGCGAAAGGGTTGAATAATCGAGAATTAGAGAAATATCATAACCGGTTGAATTCCCCGTGTTCCAGCGTGATTAATTTCCTTCTAACCTCGACAACTTGAACACGCTTGAACGAAACGTTGAATATCTGTTCCAGGCACCAGTTCCTGGAAGGAACAGTTCACGGAGGCATTAACCGTGAGCGGAGGAGACGAGGACGAGGGCGAGGGCGGCGGAGAGGCGGCAGCGCCGTCCACCATGGACTATCTGATGCACGGAGTGACGATATTCTGGAAGGTGTTGTTCGCGTTCGTTCCGCCTACGGGTAAGTCGTCGGCGAGATATCGAACCGCGTCTTCTCCCTCTCGAGAACGATAGGAAGACTCTTTTCTCGAGAGGCGGATGCTGGGAAGGGGGTGGTTTCTGTCGGAGCTGCATCTGGCACGCGTAACTTATGTTTGTCAACAGCCGCGCGAGATGCGCTCCACTTATTCTCACGAGCCAGCAGGCGTCTCGTGAAATATCTGTTTGGTATCGTCGAGAATACCGTTCCGCCGCGAGTGCCTTCGATTTTTCAGAATAACGCTGCCGCGACAAAATTGCCCATAACTGATTTATCCGGCGCATTAGAGCTTCACGATCGTGCTTATGGCCGACGTAGATTAGATCGTGGCAGTTGAAGACGGTTCGAGAATGGAAGAAGAAAATTTTACGGCTTCTCTTTATCTTTGAAGCAACCTAGGAATTTTTGAAGTGTGCAGACACAGTAGTGTCGCGTTAGCTGTCCTTGATTGGGACCATATCTGGCCAGCTATCAAGTGAGATAGAATTGTAGAAAATTCTATGGTTCTTCTCCATTGAATGCGTTTGAACGATGGTCAACTAAGGAGGCAAAGTCTCGGTCAGCTAACGCGGCACTACTGTACTTCGTTCGTAAAACCAAAATTGTCTTAGAAAAATTTTTAATAAAAATCTAGGGGAAGGGTGGATAAAATAGGCTATAAATTTCCCTCGTAAATTTTCCCCTCAAGATTAGGCCGCTTGTAATACATCGTAAAATACAACAGGATAAGTAAACCTTCGTATCGGTCACATTTGTAAGGTTAAACTTTTTCCGCTCACGCTGCTCGTTTCGGCGAATGATCAAACTGCCTTCGTGATAAAACAGACGTAAAAAAACGGCGACGAACAATTTGGACGAATGGTAGTTCGCCGGAATAACCTCGCGAACAGCTACTCGCGATTTTTCATCGTCTCCCGTGAAAGAATCCGCACGATTCAAGCCGGAGGTAGCGGTAAGTACCGGCACACATTCCTCTCACGAAAGGATCTTCCCGCGGGTTTTTACTGCGGACAGGTAGTGAGTTACTAGGACGTGTAGAGCACGGCGGAAGACTTTTAGCGCGAGAAGGGCTCCCCGAGGAAATGGAAATCGAGCTCACCCCGTGGACCGTGTTTGCCCTTTAAATTCCTGCCTACCTATTTTTCCCCCCCCGTTTAAATACCGTTATTCCACCTTTCCCGCTCACAATAGACGATTAAACGTTGGAAAAAGCACGCGTGAAAGCTTGCATTGAACGTAACTCGCCGTTGAATGGGAAAAGAGAATTAATCGAGGATTGTCTGACTATCCATTGACTCGAACTACTTGCCCGACTGAATTTCGTCCGTTGAGAACAGTCCGGGGAGTAATTTCTGCGTTATTATTTGTAGATTTTCGGTCGACGAAGGAGTTTATTAGCAGCAATACCATCGAAACGTCCTATTCATTAACGCGGAAGCGTATTTCACGGTAGGTTTTATTCGTAAGCGGATAAAGAAGTGTCGTTAAAAGTACAGTAGGGAACAGTCAGGAAGCTTGGACGACGGGCGGATGTTTATGCGACCTGTGATATCGAGGAGGCAAGTTTGCTCGGGGAAAATAGCTGTTTACTGTTCCGACTAGGAACGACTTCGCCGGCCGTTTGTGTCGGTTTCCACCGGAAATCAGCCCTCGTTGCCCCCCAGGAAGATATAGACGGTAACCGTGGAGCTTTCGACGCTCGTGTAATGGATCTTGCTCGACTCGACTCGCGATCACATAAATTTCAACGTTTCAGAAATTCACCCGAAAAAGTAACAATAATTGCACCGAAATTTCAGCCAATTTTTAAATACCTTCTTTTTCAAAAATCTCTCCTGAAAAACTCTTTTCACGGAGAATCAGAAAAGAGAAAAGTATTAACAATTACGTCGATATTTTGGGTAAAATTTTCACAGGTTCTTTTGAAAAACACTCTTTTTATGGAGAGTCAGAGAAGAAAAAAGTATTAACAATTACGCCGATGTTTCTGATAAATTTTTTCACAAGGTTATTTTGAAAAATCTCTCCTGAAAAACACTCTTTTCACGGAGAATCAGAGAAGAGAAAAGTATTAACAATTACGCCGATATTTTTGGTAAAATTTTCACAGGTTCATTTAAAAAGTCTCTTTGGAAAAACCGTCGTTGGACGGAGGATCAGTGTCCATTCGTTTTATTGGCCTATTAAACGTGTTCCCGGAACGTCGATGGTAACGAAGGTTACACAGGTACTCGAAACAGCTAAACTAATTATCCGCTCGGGCTCTTCTCGCTAATGAACAACAAACGGACGCGGCAGGGTAATCGTAAAATCACCGCTTTACGTTCGTACCCGGCCGATAAAGAAGAAGTATTCGATTAATTCCCATAAAGAGCCGCACTTTTCGTTCCGTGATTCCGCGGTACGAAAACGGATAAAACGAGTCGTTTGCGCCGTAAACGTGATCCTCTTTCCTTCGTTTTCCCCCCGGTTTTTCTACCCTTTTGTTCCTTTTACACAGGGTGTAAAACTCAACAATGATCCGGCATGTACAAAGGGTAACGCCGGTGCAATTGGATAAAGTGGGGACGCGTCGAACGCGTTGCTTGATAAACCAGGCGGTTTTCGACCGTAGAGATTCGAGAGTGGGGGGGTTGGTGTGAAAAAAAAAACACGGTCGATTTTTCATCTCGCGCGGTAATAATTTTATACTCCGCTCTGTTTAATGAAATATCCCGAAATACGCGATAAAACGCCGCGTAAAATCTACACAGGATACTATTAATTTCCGCGAAAATCCCGCCTGTTCTATCTTCCCTATCCGAGCGTCGACGTGAAATCAATTTTAAAAGGCGGACAAAGTTTGACTCGTAAAATTGCACTTGGAATTGGCGCAAAAAAAAGGAGAGAAAGAAAAACGAGCGCGTTCTACAATGTGAACGTTTCTGTCTCGATAATGGATCAGAGAAGAATTATTACAATCGAACGTAAAAAATTCGGTTTAATTGTTGCAATTCTCCCACGATTCTCTGCTGCTTCGTGTAACTGTCGCGTTTCCACAGCTTTCTCCGTTCGCAATTATATTTCCTCGTTGAGACACGTCGGACGAGAAATCGGAAGGAGTTTCGAACGGCGCGAAACGACGAAACGACCGTGACACGAAACAGTGTGTAAGCCGTCGTTATCGAGGAGAGGTAGATAACGATAAGGTGGTAGGGTCCGCGATCTCGCGCGAAGAAACCTTCAGCTAAATCCAGAGAGGCTATAAAGTGGTTTTTCCTTAGTGGCGCGGATTATGCAGAGGGTTGGCTTTCGATCGGGGTTCGATTGCGCCGGGTCGACAGCCACTCGATAAAAGCGCCGAAGGGAGAGACGGAGATAGAAGTGTGTTCGTGACACGCCCTCCGGGCAATAATTTTCCACTCTTGCTATCACAACCTTGCGTATACACGCGATCACACGCCTTAAATCACCGACACTTTCCACGCGTCGTGTCGTAAAAACAATTTCCCCAAAGCTTGCTCTTCGCCTCTGAACATCGGTGAAATAAGAACGACGAGACGCGTCTTGTCTCTGAGGGAATTGCCTCTCGATTCTCGAGAACATTTTTCCCAGATATATATATATATATGTATGTACACTTGGAGAATTTTCCTTCGCAGGAATTGTCTTTGTCGCGAGTGAAAACATTCTGGGAGAGATTGCGAGACGAGGTGAAGTTTGGTTTTTCGGTGGAACGCCCCCGCGAGGACGGTGCTCCGACTAGGGGTGGTTTATCGATCGAATCGAGGAGGATCGAGAGGCGAGATAAGGGTAAAACGGCGGGAGACAGAAGGTATCGAGGGGAGTGAAAGCTCCTCGCCCCGTGAAGATCATTGGCGCGGGAAAGCGGGCCGCCGCTCTGCAGTGTCCTAGAAAATGTACCAAGGATGCAATCTCGAACGAGCCAGGCCTGGTTGCTCGGTACACGCTGCGTTCGCCGTCAAACGGACACGAAATATCGCATGCACGACCGCGTCCTCGACAATTATTGACGGAAATATTGTATACCCTTTTCGCTGGCTTTACCTCCTTTCAAAACCACTCCACCTCCTCGGGGGGTATAATAAAGGAAAGTGGAGGAGAATGGAGGAACGAATGTATCCTTGGGACACGAGAAGATCGATTCAACGTCTGTTAATATCGCGAAAGTTGCTTGCAGAATCGTCGTATATAGGTGAAATGAAATCAGAGGAGATGATAAATTAGAAGGGGAGAGTGAAGATTAAGACGACGACGGACTCTCTTCTTCGATGTATACAGAGCTCGTTTAATGACTCGTGGAAAAAATAGAAGCGTAGCGGGTGTCTCGTGATTAACGCGATAGATCACGAACTGACGAGGCCATCAATCACGAGGGACAGAGGCGCGCGGAACAACCGGTGGAAAAGGGGAACGTGTTCGACGGTATTCGAAAAGGTTGGAAAATTGAAAACAGAAAACAAAAATAGTGAATTTCCAACGAAATAACTCGACAGCCGCAGGAAAGATCGAAGAGAAATTCGCTTCTCTCGAGACCAGACTCGTTAAGTAGTCGAAGCAGTGACTAGTAAGCCGTAGTGCTTCGCGGCGAAGTGGTTAAAGGCGTGACTGCAAAGCCAAAGGTCCCGAGATCGAATCTCCTCTCCTCTACTTTGAAGTCTCGTGTGAAATTTTCTGAAATTTACAATTTCCTCGGATTCTCTCTTGAAATTCTCTAAATATCCTCGAGTACAGAGTTAAAATAAAATAGGAAATTTAAAAAAAAATAAAAAATGGAACAATTTCCGGATTAGATGTAACGTTACATATTAAGTACTACGGGCGCGGAGTTTCTGAAAATGATAAGCTTTATCACCGAGTTTTAAGTACCTTCTAACTAGCGGCAAAGGAACTCCAGAGCACAACGAAGAGGGAAGGGAGAATCTCCTCTACGACGTGAAGCTCGATGATATTACCCTGGGAGGGGGAGGATCGCAACTCTG